CAACATCTTGTTGATATAACTCAATCTATCTACCCATTGCTAACTTGGTCCTGAGGTCTTCTCTAGAGAAACCCAACCCAACCAACTGGAACGAGTTCTTTGCTCAAAATGTTCAAACCTTCACACCAGCTTACGTTACCAACAAACGGGCTATTTCGAACTGCAGCTTGTACCGGTAAACACCGCACACCGAAGAACCCTAATTCTCTTCGTCTAATCGTGGCATTGCTTGCCCAGTTATTCCTCCACAAGCGCCCAAGCAACGTAATCAGTAGGGGAATTGAACATCGATTGCTGATAAAAACTGGTACAACAACCTAATGTTGTCAAACGTGTTGGAAGGACACATCATTTTGAGATGTGACAATACCAAACAAAACATCACCGTTCGAGCATGAATTGACGCGGCAATGAGACAAAAGGACACTGCCAAATGTAAGTGAACTTGACGGACTGTTTGCCAGGATGTAGAAAAAAATACTTGGAGCTCGGCACAACTTTGAAATTACTGAAAAGAATGGCTTGTTCACGATGGAGGATATTCAACAGACAAACCATTTAGGAATCTCAACAAAATATTCGTAGGTCTTAGTTAGACTACCACTTATTTGTCCGTCCACTACCTGTCTTAGAAAGCATCGCGCTCTGCTTCAACCAGTTTGGTGACTTGCGCAACACATATTCCAACCTGTGCATTTTATGGAAGTCAATCACTTGTCCTAGTGTGTAACTGCGACCACCGAAAGCTCAGCGTTTAACCGTAGCACTGCTTGTTCGGTTTCCTCATCAAACAATAAAAAGAAACCATTTCATAAGGTGATTTACGAACATTATGTGGATGATCAATTAATCTAAATATTCAATTACTGTCGGCAAGCAATACATTTAATTTCACCTGAGTAAGAATAACAGCCACAGGTTAAAATCATAAATGCACTTATTGATGGCGACAAAAGAGCGTTTCGTGTTTCTGTCCGACAGTTATCACACACGATACAATTGTCATCGTACAGCGAAGTACAGTAAATCCAACTTCACCAATCGCTGCCAACCTCGCAATGCATACGAAGTTAGTGGTAATATGTAAGGTGGACAGGGATTGGACCAACTTTGAGGAAGGGGGAAGGATATGAACCTCAATGGTTAACATACAGAGTACAAAATCTAACTACAAACAAATCGTTTCAATCATTCTAACCGGATAAGAAATGACAGCAAGAAAGCCACTGCTATCGATTCGCTGCCATATCCTTCAATGCCTCTAGCCTACCAGTTGTGGAGTCTTTCGGACCCCAACCTGGAAGGTGCAAGAACCTACTCCACCTAATAGTTCTGTGCATTTTTTCATGCCTCGTCTCTACATCATCTGTTACTCTCCACGTGGTTTCCTCCAGCCCGGAGAAGCTACATCAAATGAAGCGCAATGCAGTAGACGACATCTGGACATAAGGAATATTTGTCCAAGCCAGTGAGGCCTACTAATCTCAGTTAGCTTAACTAGCAATCTCATCCCTGACAATCTCCAAAACACACGATGGCTTACGTCCAGATTATTAACCCGTTCGCTCCATTCCACATGGGTCAAACTGCGTAAACACCGATAGTCGAAATCTTCTACTTGCAAATTCAACGTCTCACAACCATAAAGCACAAGTGAACGAACGATGGCGCAATACACACGACCCTTCAACTTCAGTGAAAGGTCGCGTTAACGCCTAAGGTGTTTCGATTCTGCTTATGCTGCTCGATCCTTGAAAATGCGGGCGAATATCTCCTTTGCTGCGTTACCGTTATTGGTCACACAACTGTCGAAGTAGGAAAAGTAATGCACCGTAACTAATTCCTAATCATGTAGTTTCAAAGCGGGACTAGACGACATCAAGTTTTGCGGCATCACTTTGCACTTGGAAAGCTCATACTCAATGTAGCAACAGCACTTGTTAGTCTATCAAGTGCGCTTTGCAAGTCATCCATACATTCGAACAGACAGACGATGTCATCAGCGTACTCTAAATGATCCAGCTTTCCTCCAGCTGCCCATTTAACACTATTGTTAGAAGGCCACTTAATGCGTTCTCCAGAATATCTTGTAAGACGAACTGGAAGAGAGCAGTAAAATTTTTTTTTTTATTCAACTTTAACGAATGTCAATAAAGGACAGGGTCTTCTGATCTCAATGACGATTGAATCTCGCAGGAGGAAAACGAAAATTGCCTATTTTTCGTGTTGAAATTATTTGCGACATTTCTGCCTTCATCGTTCACCCCCCAGTTGCCGGTCGTTGATTGGTTAGTTCTTTAACTTTTTTCTGCATAAACCTTCAATGCCTATTTCCAGAGACCGAGACAGTATTTAATCAGACGGTCTGACCCGACTTGCTTTTGTTGCGTCAATTACACGTTCCTTGCTCACCGCATATGTTTTCATTTCGGTAGCTGGGAGAAGGCAACTAGTGATCGTGGCGTGCAATCTGTGTTGTGATTGCACTATTTAGGCTGGACTATTTCTGTGGCCATCGAGGTACTTGCTCCGTTTCGGACTTACCTCGAGTCTCCGGGTGTGTTCGCATTCTGTGATAGCGGCCCAGAGTGTTCAATTTGTTTCCTGTCAAGCAACAAAGTGTGTCACTACTACTGTGCCGTGCTGTGTTATGCTGACTAGTGTTTGGAAACCCCGATTCTGTTTTATTGTCACTGTGTTGTGCGTTATTCGTGGGTGATCGTGAATGATACAACAAATTCACATACACTGTTGAAGAAAACTATTTAGCAAGTTTGGCATAGATTCATTTGTTGAATGAATACATAGTAGGTGCCTGTAAAGTATTTAAACTTTTGTCTGAAAAAAGCTTGGATAGATAAACAGCGAAGTACGAAACGCATGTCGATACTTACTCAAAAGATAAGGACAAAACGGCGCATTCCGTGAACGGCTGATAGCATTCCACATTAATAATCTGTTGCACCTGTGCGTCCAGCTCGATAGTGTTCGGGCCTGGTTGCAACTCAATATTGAGGGCTCGACCGGTCCCAGTCAGATCAGACGTCTCAGGACAGTGTATTTGTGTTTGGAAGCTGGTCAATGCATGAGGAGATTTGTTCCCGTAGAACAAAGTAAGTCTGCTTAGATGTCGATTGGACTGTGACCGAAATCCAATTTGGATCATACGATCCTCGTACAGAATTCCACTTGTTCGACAAATGAGGCTGATGGGATTGAAACAGAATCAAGGAAAAAATGTTCCAGTCACAAAGGGGAACTGTTCCTGTTGGATTAACTGCATGCGAAAAGAAACCACTGCTTACCTTGGCAAATAAAGAATTCGACCAGGTAACTATAAATACGTCCGAGATTATTAACATATAGTAAGAATCCTTGATTGTTTAAAGAAAGCTCTAAAAAAATCATTGAATAATCAGAATTTGATACGATTTCTATGAGCTTGGGTCGCGGTTTTCTACAATACAGCGAGTAATGGTTCACATGATACGGTACACATCTATCGGTGTAAAGTAGAAAAATACTGCTTACCACGAAAATTGCTGACTCCAATTTGAGCACTTTTCATACGCGAGTCACAAATATCAATACCGGAAAAAATCAATCATGACAGCTCTAAAGTTGTCAGTGCCAAAACAACAGACGCTCTTGGAAATGCTACTAGCGAGTAGTGCAGTAAATAGAAAAATCCACTGCGGCACACAAAGGGAATCCAACAATTGAGTTAAAAATATCAAGGTAAACGCTGTGGAGAAAACCTTCGGGGGTACTGATGTAATGGAATTTGACTGTCTGGAATTTAAAATATACAGCTCAGGCCGCAGAATCGACCAGGAAGAGGGGCTTGCCCTCCCTCCGATTTCACTAAGGCATAATATAGGTCTCATGAACATGCACGAATATTTATATGTGAAACTGTCCTTCACACTGATACGTTCATTTTCTCATGGATATCAACTTGAAACGACTACGGTGTAATCACGAAAAGAGAAACATACCCGTAATGAAGAATACACTTTAAATGGAACACATACATCCAGTTGAACCGAATAGACGTCTGGGAGAACAGAAACCACTGTTCATTTATGTTCACAGTTTAACAACCCACCAATCGTTTTAAAATTTGAATGTGTAAAGCAGAACAGTAAAGTGAACTTTGCTTCACAATATTAAAACAAAAATGAATAAGTTGGAGACGAAGTGAACAGGTGTGAAGGAGGGAAGAGCTAATTGAACCATTTTGCTTATTAAATACCGTGCAACAATTATTATTAGGGTGAAATTAGAGACCACAATTTACTCATAGCTATCGGTTGCGATCATTCATGGTCGAAATGGCATGCAAAATTCAGCAAATAAAGGCACATAACTGCCAAAATACATTGAGGTTGTCCCATCTAAGATGGCATTTAGAATATTCACCTGCAGGTCGTAGGCTAATTCTTCGGTCACACAGTTTTAGACAGCTCTGACAGACCTTAAAAGTTATATAAACAAAAAGACATGAGCCGGATACGGGAGGTGCTAGTCACAACAGTAACCATGTTTGTTTGATAGGTCATCGTCGTACAGGCAACTGGCACAGATAAACTAGATTAAGTCAACTGGGGTGACAGAATCTGTGAAAATCTTTACTGTCAAGTTTTCGGTAGATGAGTATAGCAGGATCAGATATTGAAGAAGATAACACAGTTCCACTTTCGAAACCCAAAAAATATTTCACGTACGCAAAACTATCCAGGTCTGCGAACCCACGTGAGGGGAAAGTACTCACTTTACAAACTCCTTCTTGTTCACAGCTGCCGCTGACAGATCAGCTTGCATGAGTCCGGTAGCCGCAGTTCCATTTTCTGTTGTGCCATTTGTGCCAAGAATATCGACAAGTAGATTGTCTCCAGCAAATGGTGTACCTTTATTTTGCATTCCGGTCCCTTGGGCGGGTATGGCCGGACTGAGGGAACCCAAACCGAGCAGATCCACTTCCCCGCCAAGTGTGGCATTCGAATTCGGATGGACAAGGTCGTTCTGCATGGATGCGATAGTAATGCCACGCGATGAACAAGAAAAACGGCGTTATGCATAATTATATTAAAATAAAACGAACTTAGGAAATTTGAATATTCACTCCAAACGAAGTGTTTCCTCCCCATCGGATAAAGGGAGAGTAGTGCTTTAACGAAAGAATTTAACCAGCCCAATTTCTTCTTGAAATCTTGCCACAAATCCGCGCTTACAGTCTCTAAGCTGCAACTCTTTTCACTGACGTCTCTTGACACGGATTTCTTAATCTTAACGATGTAACGAGAAGCAAAACAAGGGCTGCAACCTAATCGATGTGCCATCGTCTGAGGCACTACATCTGAAGCGGAAACAGCTAAAAACCGGTCATAGAGGAATTGGACGTTCGAAAAAGCTCACAGGAAAAGATAAGCACAGATTACTACGTATCATCACAAACTACGAGTTATGCATAGGAGCTGAAGACGACACTAGAGTTGAACGTTTTGGTGGAAACGAACAAACAGAAAGACGGCTATGAAAAACTGAAACTCATGTAACGTGGAAAAACGCATGAGATCTCGTCTACTTTACCGACGAAAATAAATTTAGATAGACCCGAAGCGTGCAAAGACTACTGGCATGATCTGCGGAAAGAGTAAGGGTACTTCAATATTTGGAACTACAGTTAACGATCAAAACTCTATAGTGCGCAGTATCTTATCAAGCCAGGGTCCAACCGAATTCGCTATTTTGAGTGGGATTTAAGATCAGATGCATACATTCGTAAATTGAAGCGGCACCTTATGCAAGCGGTGTCGAATGGTCATCCTGACACCATTCTCCTAAGTGATAATGCCGTAGTGCATAACTCGCATATGACAAATTGCTGGTTACTTCACGAATCAGAGACTTCGTTGACCAAAGAGTGGCATAAAACGAATAAGCACATGGTTTGAAATCTTATACATCCTGAGAAAAAAGCGGCTTCAACAGGTAAATTCCATGACAGAGAAAGTGGATATCGTTTTCCCATATATTTTCGTTAAAATAAAAGATAATTTCATAAAATATCATATTTCGTCTTTTCATTGATTAAGGCCTAAATTCTTAAAAATGGTGATGGGCGTGCATATGGGAGAGCAGATAATCCAATAGCCGAGAGGGGTACAATACTTTTGTCACGGGGGGATGCTTATCATTATTTGGCATATTAACAACAGGATCCGATTACTGAAACTCGGTCAACCCTATTTTTAACCGAAATACTAATCGAATACAACCAGCGCTTAATATGATGTGCACTTGAACAGATAGGAAGAAGACTGCGATAATAATCGACTTCAATGAATTTCCGGAGAGTCCGCCTATGGAAAAGGTGAGCTTATTTTACTTTTGAGTGACTAATTCCGGCGGGAAGATAAGTCAGCTAATTGGATGTCTCTAATGAAGATCGGCGGCAAGGTTGTCGCAGTGTGAGCCCCAGTTCTGGTTCCAGTTACGAATTCCTTATACGGATCGGAGGCCCAGTAATTCCAAAGTTACCTTGATTGTACTGCTCCAGGTCTTCAGTTGACCACCGAGTAGGTAACGCCATCCACGGCACGGTGCGGGGGCTACAGTGCCGCGAGTTGTGTCGGGCCTTCACTGCACATAATCAAACCACTGAAGGCACCGGCGTTGTAGTATTTTCGAAAGCTTGTCTATGTTCGAGCAGCGCAGTCGAACCTTATTACTGGAAACCCGATGGCTGCAATTTACTTTTTAGATGCGGCGTAGGCAACAATTATTGAAGACTTCGAGCCTCTTTGTATCTCGTAATCTTAGAGATCATGCTTCACAACCGTAAGTAAGGATGGGGAGGATGGAGGCCAGATAAAAGCGAAGAAATAATGTTTAGGCTCATCTCGAATCGATTCCACAACGGTTTGAGGAGTTGCAGGAAGACTCTTCTACCTTCGTCTACATGAAGTTGGATCTCATCAGTTCCAGTTGGAAATGTCTTGCTTTTCGACGTGTTGATCTTTAACGCAACGGCGTGGGCAAGCTGACTAATGCGACTGACAATAAACTGGAGGTTGTTCATGGTGCTCCCAATTACAACATCATCCGCAAACTCGCAGTCTGCAATCCATGTACCTAGGCCCAGGTGCATTTCGGGGTAGTTGACGAGTGTGTCACATTATCCAATCTACTGTGTAATTGAATAACATTGGCGATAGGGGGAAAACCTTGCCTAACACCAGAGCTTAGTGTAAACTCAGCTGATTCTTCATCGTGTACGGACACGTGCCCTGATCCCTGAGAAGTATGACTTTAAGACCTGATGAACTTTTCGGGCATCCAGTCGGACCACAAGGGTTTCTATCGACAGAGTCGAAGGCAGCGCAGAAGTCGATGAAACATGCTGCGGTAACTGTGTTCCGGAATCCTACGGAGAGTCAAGAGTTGCCCAACACAGCCTCTTCCGAGGCCAGGCCGCTTCCTTGATTCGCGTGGGCGCGGGTATCTCTGATGACTACAAAGAGTTTGAGCAGTATCACTTTTGGCTGCAATATTAACGAGGCTGATACCCGTATGATCTATGCATCATGATCCGTCACCCGTTTTTGAAATAAGGACTAGAATTGAAGTTGCCCAATCGTTAGGAGATAAAAAGATAAAGAATGCAGTGGGTCAATCCGAGTTAGCAGACAAGCTTTGAATAGCTTTGGTGGTATGCCGTCTTTTCCCGGGATTCCCTGCTTTTCAGAGAAGTGACTCCATTAATGATTTCTACTAGATGGGTCATAATTGATGTCGTAGGCCTCCGAACTGCTTGACATCTGTGGACAGCTAGGTTGGTTTGATGGACGGTTGATCAACCCGTCGAAGTGTTCGAACCATCTTTGCATTTTCCGTTCATTTCCTTGAATAATTTGGCTCGAGATGTCACACAATGGTGGCTACAATGTTCTTCTCTTTCCTGCTGCTATACGGATTAGACGAAATAGCTTTCCAAAGTCCGCTGCGACGGTTGCAACCTCCACTCTCTTTGCGATCGCCTTTCAGTACTGTTTACGGCTCGTCTTGGCGGAGCGGATGGACTGGCGACGTAGTATATGGAATTCAAGAGAATTGAGCAGCTGTGCTTCTCTCGTATATGTAGACAACTTCAGTGTATGCTCGGAGATCCAGCCGTTTTAGGGCGAATAGTTTTGCCTAACCGCCCCAGAGCCGCTTCTCTGATGGATGTTTTCAGCGTGGACCACTGTAGTAGTTCCAAAAAGCGACGTTGAATTTTCCTGGGAGAAGAATCTTCCGGCGAATAGTCAGGTGGATTTTGAAGCGGGCGCGTATAAGGGTATGGTTCATGCCGTTCCTGTTTCCAGTTTCTGCCCCGTGATAGTACCATTCTGATGTGCTCTTCAACTGTCATCCGAGAACCGAGTAAATAGGTGTTTCATGGGATGCTGGCAATGGGTGTTGGCCACAATCATCCAGTTACACCTAGCAAAAGTGACTAGGCGTTCACGATTTTCGCAATGTCGACCAAGGTCAAACTCTCCCAGAACATGCCAAGTATACTCGTCTGATGGACCAGTGCGTGCATTCCAGTCTCCCGCTATTCGAGATCGTTTCTTAAGCTGCAGTCCTCTGCGTCCTGAAATTGATCATAGTAGTCGTCTTTGATGGACGCTTCTGTATGAAACGTTGGTGCATAGACGGCAATGACAGTCAGGTTAAACGGTTTGCTCCTGAAGCGCGCTATGGCAATCCTTGGGGAGATTGGGCCCCAGGATATCATGGCATTGTTGACCCAGTAGTCCATGGCGATTGCCAGTCCATGCAAACCGTAGTTTTCCATTGTTCAATTGTCAAACGGTAGGTTGCGTCACTATGTGGCACATTGATTTGTTTTGTGTCACAATTAAGCAATCGGACTTCGGATAGACAGACGTCTACTTTGTATTCGTGCAATGAACGCATTGTAATGCACTGGCTTCCTGTGTCTGGCAATGCCTTTACATTCCAGCAAGCTACGTGGAGGCCAGATCTGGTTCCCAGCTTGCTCATTTATCACCCCAGGCACTGGGAGAGCGCATCGCTTCCCGGGAACGCCGTAGCCTGAACGCGATGTGATGATCACTCAAGAGCTATTGTTTAGGATTCAATGACACTAACACGATTACCTGTCAACCAGTTGTGTAAAATCTTCTTTTACATGTAAGACAATACATAAATCAACTGAATGGAAACAGATTAAGCACCGATATAACCTAATACGTGTATATGAGGTAAGAAGAACCAACGAATGCGAGAGATTCCGCCTGTTCTGTGAAAATAAGGTAGGCTGATAGCAAATTGTGTAAATGTTATCATTCAAATGCCGCTGGTTTTCTTACGATCTACAACTAAGCGCGAAATATTTTCTGCACCTTTTGATCTCAAGTTCTGCTTTTACATCAAATGCATAAATGCTTCTCACCGTCACCTATTAAATGTCATCAATTGAACCATTTCACTTAGTTTGCATTACACATTGGTTTACTGCATTACATGCAGAACGTTCTCACACGACCCACAATAACAACTGTGAGTGGACATTCGTGAAAACCTAAGGAGTGATAAGTGATCGAAACAGACTGTGAAGTAGTATGAAATACTGGATATATATGCAAAAAGTTGAAAAGTGCCGATTGGACGCAGTACATTAACTGATTTAGGCGACGGAATCCCGCCGTAGCTCGTGAGCAACTGGTGATTATAGGAAGAACAAGACAATTCATTTCCAGTATCATCATAGAAATTGATTTAACTCAGACGCTGAGCACACAGCACATCGAGGCAGCTAAATGGGACACCGGCACAAGACGGGAGCAGTATGGGTAGCAATGGTAACTTAAACCAGCCAAAATACCCAAACCACTTACCTTGACCGACTGCATCGTCTCCGATCGCGCACTCGGATCCGGTTTTGTGGTATTGGTGTGCTCAGAATTAGGGTTGCGTGCTTTCAGTTTCACCAAGATGCTAGATTCGCGTTCAGGGAATGGTGGCATTTCCTCCAAGACTTTTGCCTAAAAGATCAGAAATGAATTCAATAAACAAACTGAACTGGATGCGGATTTGGGATAATATGATTATAATCATATGAATATGAGTGAATGTTATCCGGAGAAAACAAGCGAACAAAAAAAATCACGAAGAGGCCAAGAACACAATAAAAAATAATCATTCCATGTTGTGTGAAATAGTCTCCCAGGCCTTTTTATTACACAACAGTGTGTGATGAACGGCAGACGGGGCGGACCCCATGTTCACGAAGATCTGCCGTTTGGTGATAGTAACCGATGAACGATTCAACCAAACGATCGAGTGGCGTATATATAAATATATTGTGCGGTGGGTGGGTGCTCTAAGACGAATCTCACAAAACTTTTTAGTGTTAATGGGCTAATACCTAGA